TTTTATTTTATTTTGATCGGTCTCCTCGACGCTCTTTCTCGTTTGGTGCGGTAGCTGGTCTTTCTTTCTATCATTTTGTTTCTCTTCCGAGTGGTTTTTGTACCCTATTTTTTTCTGTTTCTTCGTGGGGTCGTGTATGCCGGGTTTTGAGACCACGGGCTCCCAATCTTTCTTTTTTAGAGCTAATGTGAGAAACAACAACAACAACAACAACTACACGAGTGCTTTCTGCGACTTATCTTTTGGAGCTACGTGGGGACCCTCACACAAGCCTTCTTCGGTACGAGGAGCCGGCGTCGATACTTTCTCTCCGCGCAAACAACCGCCAACCGAGTTTCCAAAATCAGCGTCCTGTCCGCATGCACCTACATGCTCATTGTCCCCTCAAACACCCCCGTGTGTTTGTATAAGCACGCTATTTGAATAGGGAAGGGAGATAGAAGTTTAAACGTCAGACGATGACGGTGATTTCCGGTGAACCCAAAGTATTATTCGTTCCGTCACGCAACACTGCCGTATAGCCCTGAATCACAGGGGGTCGTCTCGCCCTCACGCCACCCCCCACCGAGTGCCGAAACACGAACCTCAGGGTATGCGCATGATGTCCACCGAATGCCAAGATTAATGGGGTAGACGACAGCTTTTTGTCGACTAGCACATGCATGTTTTTTTCTCCGGGGGTGAGATTATCTCGAACGGCACATTGGGCCGAGCGTTGCTGTTTTCTCCGTTCGCACCGTACCGAAGCATTCTTCATTCCTTCCCTCCTTCCGTCCTTGCCACAAACGTATGCTGTGTTACTGTACCACAAAGAAATTTAGCGAGGGTCCTTACTGCCGCATCGTGGGGCCAGGCAGTCTGAAGGAAAGTTCGTTCACCAACGTGTTCCTATACCCCAAGAAGTACTACAAGACGAATCCTTTCTCCCATCCGAGGGACAGGCAGTGCGAGGGGGCCAGGATGGGGAGCCAGGTGACGTGCATGGACGGCCTCGTCGAGAAAAAGGTGAGTGAAAGTTCTGCCTTTCTGTCTGCTTGTGTGAGTAGGACAAACCCTAGCTATCCTCAACCCCCATCAAGAACACGTGCCCTTTTCATGAAGAACAGGGGAGGGGGGGGGGGGGTACTCATAGTCGTGCATGCCGTAGTCGTTAGACCATTGACCTCGCATCCCTACAAAGCCGGGACGGAGCACGCCGGGTTCTCACCGGACCAGGCTCTTACATCACCAAGCGCGAAGCGCCGTGAGATATTCGGCGAGTCGCGTTAAGGGTGCGCTGCATCCTGCCAAGGGTGTTCGGCATCTTGTGCTTCCTTCCTTGTAAACGGATGACATCTGCGTATGAACAGGGGGAGGTGAATTGGTGAGTGGTTGCGTGAGTTTGTGTGCCTCAACACGGTTGTAGAACGCTGCTGAAACTTTACGATCAAAATATCATGCAGACCATCTACCGAAAACAGGAAGGATGCGTCACATTATCAAGGCCCTTACGGCGAGAAAGGGCAACACGTGAGTTCAAAACAACAGTCTTGCCTGAAGAAAATAACGGTACATGGTGTGTGGAGCTACCTATAGCGTGATTGGAAGTATGCCAATACCGCCATGCCGCACACTCGAACTCCCTCCGATCTACCCTCAAGACTCAAGCCCCAACCATTGTCCATGAATTCGGCCAGGGCCTGCTTGTGTTGCTAAAAAGGATGCATGCGAGAGTTGAACATGTCCGAGCTTCTCTTGCGACAGGGGGGGCTCGGCAGACCCACAGGAAGCAATCTGTGTCCAGCGTTCCACGGCTTCAACGAAAGCTTCTTCACACCGTGTTTTATGCATACCTCCAG